TATTTTACTCGTTAAAATTTATATTATTAATATTTTTAACTACACTAATTTTGAACAAGATCAAGTCCAATACGGGATGAAATAAAAAAAATAAATAAATAAGCAACTTACAAACAATGCAAATCAAATTCTTATAAAAAAAATAAATATTATGTGAGTATTATATAAATACATTTCTTGGCTTATAAATAAATTTGTATATACAAAATTCTCATAATGGCATTAAAAAGAAACGATAATGTTATACCATTATAAATATCATACTTACCTAACTAGTGGTTACTATTTTTTTAATAAGGAGGAAAATTCAATTTAAATCCGATTTTTGTAATAAATAACGAAATTTAAACTGCACGACGCCACTAATATAATATGACTATGCAGCCTGCAAGTCAATGACTTCATAAAAGCAATATATATCTAATTATGAACAAAACATGAAATCGTATTATCCAATAAAAAATGAATAATGCCGGGATTAGGAATAATTAGAAGTAAATTCATATCTAATGTATTATCTCATTTTTATCCAATCCAGACTGCAATATCGTAATTAGGATTAGTCTGGTATAATACATTTTTCTTCTCTGGTTGATTCAGGAGGTGTAACATCGACGCTGCTAACTAACTGCATTTAAAAACAAATCATTCATACTATATAAATATTGCATCCATTTAAAGAATTTCGGCTTGTCTTTAAAATATAGCTATATAGATAAACACAATAGAAAATATTTGACTCATTCAACAGTCACGGACAACAGCATTGACCACAAGAGATCCATTCGAAAACTTTGGAAGAAGTGATGGGAGATGTTTAATATATGAAAGCACCAGATCACTCAATATTAATAGAACCGTTACTCTGTTATGGTGTAACAATAGAAACTACGGAACTTAATTCGTACCTATTTCCAGTTTCTCAGTGGTATTATTATTTTGTTTGTTACTTTTCTGAGATATTTGTTAGTGTTTTCAATTTCTGCATAGATTATGTCTGTTTACATACATAATTTTGATATTTTTTTTTTGCAGGTTAAAGTTACCTTGTATATATCCAGTGCGAAGCTTAATCGCCGTTCAACTTTAACGACATTTTTTCGAGAAAGTATTTTGATTCTTGGCATTTACTTCAATCAGCGAATACACGTGTTCAGATTTCACAAACATTCAGTTAGCCTAGGGCACACTGACTTGCGAGTTAAATTTGTATTTGGGTGATTTGCCCTAAATATGATCAAAATATAACAAAGAAGATAAGATCTGCAAAAGAAAATATACGATTGTTTTCAGGGATTTGCGTAATATTTATTTACATATATTGTTAAGTTTTGAATTTGTATTATTATTTGACTTTTCCCTACTGACTATTGTTTACGTACTCGAACTTGTACAAAATAAAGTTCTTGGTGTACCCGGCAAGAAACATTTCATATGTAAACAAAATAATAGATAGTTAATATTTCTCTTTCTTTGTTGATTAAATATTCAGATACTTTCAATGGAGTGAAACATGTGTTTTGAAATCTGAATTTAGGCCATATTTTTTAACTTGGAAATTCCTAAATTGACATACATCCTGGCTCTATGATTGCGTCTTAGCTTTTCATTGCAATGTTGTTGTTTTTTTGAAGACTTACTCATTCTTGCATTAACATATGAAGCAGAATCAGTCTAAATCTTGTGCTCAGTTCTTAGTGTAGGTGGAATTATCTATTCAAATTATTATTCACGGAATTTACAAAATGTTCAATAATATTCATAGTCTAAAACATTAATTTGTAATTATTTTATTAAATTTAGGCAAGAACATTTTGCCTTATAGTATTGTAGTACATAAAACAAGTGTTAGCACATCGTCACATTCCAAGCCATTGGCACATTACAACGTTCTAGACGACATATTCATCAATACATTCAATATTAGAACTCATTTAAAACACCCCTGAAATTCAATTGGTATACATTTGGACTTGTGATGGAACTTTTAGGACTATTTACTATTTAATTCAAAATATTGTAGGTTCTTTATTAAAGTTTTGCTTTATATACTGGGGAAATAAGTTACTTGTTGAATTGTTTTACAAATGTTGTTTTTCGCTTTCGTATTACTTATTTGAAGACCATTGAATAGCAGGAAAATGAAATTTTGGCTTGCAATTTGACTTTATGTCAACTTTAAAAGACAAATGTTGATAATGTTATCGAAACAATATATTTAATTAGTACATGTAGATAAATACGAAGATGATGAAAATGGAAGATCTATAATGCTGGCATAGGTAGATAAGTGTTTCAGCAATGAATAGGAGAGAGAGAGAGAGAGAGAGAGAGAGAGAGAGAGAGAGAGAGAGAGAGAGAGAGAGAGAGAGAGAGAGGGTAACTCTACGTTTTTAACTGACATATTCCCATATAAATGATTTTATAATTGTATCTCTTTCTATTTGGTCCTGGAGAGTGGTGAGTCCGCTAATACGTCTATTTTCATTTCAACAATCTTTGATTATGATTTGAGATCACTTATTTATTTTCATTTCTTATTTTTTCTAGCAGTAACTTTGTACCCGTATCGTGTCATAATTACATAACAATAGATTACAAATATATCTCGTGCCTTCGAAACACACATGTGAGGAAATCCTATAAGTTATATTATTAACAATCATTACCTAGTCACTTTTGAACCCGTTGGCATGTATCACAATAATCTTTGACAAGTCGATTGTTAAGCGAACTGGTCCCAGTTCTCCGGTTTGTCTTTATGTTATATCGCTAACATCAGACAAAAGTTCGTTTACATCATTTCGACATCTATTTGCACTGCGGTTGATAGAGAAACATAGGTTAGTTGTGTTTTTTTTTTATTTCCTAAGATGACACGAAGATAAAAGCATACGAGGAGCGTCAATTCTCCCAAAACAATTGTCAAGTAACGCTATTACAGCCTTAGTGGCCTCTATATTTGGTTACGATACTGCTTTAATCCACTCGGTGAAATGATCTCCAAACTCATGATTATTCCTTCTGCGTCATCATTAGAGATCCTTAAATATCTAAGGCTACGAGCTCTCATGTTTCACCGATAGGTATGTCCTGAAAGTTCGATGGCGCTCCTAGATAGGGTTCTTGTGCTGACCGCAAAAGATCATGTCGCATAATGGTCTTGAATCTAATCTATCATACTAGGCCATTAATATTATTGATGTACTTTACTTAGGGTTTTATCGAAACCTGAATGATCCAGGCGGCTCTATCACGGCATAGCCTTAAGGCTTTCCACCAGCACCTGTAAGCATTAAGACAAATCTTAAATGACTTGCCAATACGATCAAACCAAACCTTCACATTCACGTCGGATATTTTCTAATAAACTGAATGCTTCCAAGAAGGCTTTTTTCCGTGTTTCTTCTTACCAAACGTTGCGCTGCCGAGTCTATGCCAAGCAGATCACGCATGATGCTCATCTGTCCAACGAAAATCCATATTCTTTTATGTAAGCTGGTGCAAGGAACAACACTATCAGTGACCTACAAACTACCGATAATAACTACAAAACCCAGTAAATCTCCTATCCTCAGTAATTAATTTTGAGCTGGGCCATTTTTCAGCACAGTAATTTTTCATAGTCCTGTAGCTAATATGACACAAACAAAATAATGTGCTTCTCACGCATAGAGAGTTCTTTTGCTAGATTTCAGCTTTAGACCGGCTCTTTATATACATGTAAATATTTTGTCTCTCAAGCAACCTCTCGAACGTGTTTCCAAATACTACCACGTCGTCGTGATCTATCAAATGAAGCTTTGTACTGCAGTCCTTCTGGATGAACTGCACCAGACGATTGAATTTTTCGTGGATCGTTGCACAAACCGAATTGTACTTGTACAGACTCTTCTTGTTTAAAACGCCGTCCTACATAGGTATTCCTACTCGATTTTCACTTGTCATTATTCCGAGATCAATGTTGCGAATTAGCTTTTTTGCAACAGCAAATCAAATATATCATTGATTCGAGAAGTGGACATGTCACTCTCGATAACCGAATTCAGAGATCTATAGTCCATTATGTCTTGATAGAAACATTACCGGAGCAGCTTACTGATGCTTCTTTTGGCTACCATCGTCAATATATAGTCGGCTTTTGTGTCAATATCCTAAAAGAGATGGAACGGTAATCTTCTGAGTCGGACTTGAATCCGTCTAGATAGGGTGTTTTATCAAATTATTCTAACAAATTTGTCATTATCTTAAGAAACACAGCGAAATTCGTTCAAATGGATACAGATGGAAGGTGCATGATTGGGTGTCAAATGGCTGCTTGACCTCTCGAATAATTCACACTAATGTGATTATCGACTGGTGTTCGAATAGTGATGGCATGCTCTACATGCGTAGTTAGTGCTGCACATGCTTGAGAGCGCCAAACACCAGCATGCAAATATACTTTAGATTTAGTCAGATTCAATAACCGTATTGTAGACTAGTATTTTCGTTTAATTTCAAAACAGAGGTTCCTGTAACGATTCTACAGACAGCATTCCATAGTCAGCATTTGCCATCCATCCTCAAGTGATACTTTCATTCTCTGCCGAGACTCTGATGTTGACAGCTAAATTAATACGGGTAAAAGCAAACGATTCCGCAAAATATCTCCGCAGCTTCAGTTCCTGCATCATTAGTGTTTATTCACTAACGCTATTGTAGCACTTATGTCTCATGCCTCTCCAAACAATCAATAAATCCGCTTGACCACTAGTCCCATTCTCTTCACAGGAAGCACTTAACTGTTGAGTTTGTCTTTAACCGTGATGAGCTTTGGATTTTATACCACCGCTTGCCGATGTTAGCTACCGCCGTGAGAGGGCTTATCCTGTTGACTTGTTGTGCAATCCTGGTTTTTCATTCACATAAACTACAAGTTTAGTACATTCTGTATGTTTTGCCTCGAGCCTCATTACACCGGTGGCTCTTACTCCACCTACAATTATCTGTTCGACCGCTCCGGTGGCCTGGTGGTTAGAGCGTCCGCCTCAGATGCGGAAGATCTCTGGTTCGAACATCGGTCTAGTCATACCAAAGACTTCTAAAAATGGTGCTAACAATTGCCTCGCAAAACACTCAGAATTAAGAGGTTAGTGTTAAGACTGTGATTCGTGTTTAAGGAATAATGCCCTAGTGCTAGACATTACTATAAACTGCATATATCGTAGAAATATTACTAATATGACTATAATTACGCTATCATATCAAATTATCACACACACGGACACACAAAAACACACAAACACATTCATCGCTGTTTAAAGGCTTGATACGCACATAATTTCAATGTCCACAATCATCATAATTCTTGGACTGATCTGCTGATCACCTCGTATCATGCTGCCTGTGTTGCTATCTGCGCCCAAGTCTTTTCGTTCTTTACATTCTTAGCTTAATTTCATGCTTCGCTTCGAGTCGCTTAATTACAGTTTTATAGTCTGCATTATTTTCTTTACGCCAGGCTTTGTAATGATCAATAATTTTTTAAGCAAATCTTATGGCTTTTGCCATAAAACAAGTACTCGAGAAAGCTTGTCATTCCACCTCCATTCTTCCTGCTTCGTGCAAGCTGCCCTGGCGATGGCGCCAGATCGCAAGTCTCAGATCTTCGTCCTGAACTTCGTCTCAGAAATGGTCTTCTACTAGTCGGTTGGGAATATGAAGTGAGCCACAATGATATGTCAGCAAAACAAGTCTTGTATGGTTTGTCCTAACCTCCGCTTCTGAAACGGCTTCGAAGCTGCGCCTTGTAATATTCATCTTAGATAATACGTGCAAAGCGAGCTCCCATGGAAACTTTCAACTTACAAAACTTGACTTGACAGAGCTGGACTTGAAGATCTGTTAAGAATTGGAGGGCTTTCTTCCTTAAGCATACGGACCAGCGCAACACCTACTTGATTATTATCAATTATTGCCATTGCACTGTGCCCATAAATGGGTCATTTAGTCAATTAATAATGTGAATACATAATTAGTATCTGCCTTACTCGAGGTGCACAAGAATTAAACTGTTTCTCAAGTGTCAACTTCCTTGGTCAATTGCAAGCTTGGTATCTTACTCTAGAGCTCTCAACCGAACGTGCTCATGAACAAATCTATGGTTGTTGTTAACTTTCTCACTGATAAAGGTGTCTATGCTTTTGACAACTATATAGGTCACTTTCATTAGGCGTAGAAATCATTACAAACATCACTGTCAATTTCGATAAGCATTTTAGGATTCCCGGCAATAGGTAAGCTTAAGATAGCCTCTAAACAAAATGCAGTACTGGTGAATAATTAATCGTGCTTTTTCCCCCAACCCCTTTGGCCGTACTATAGTCTAGACCATACATTTCAATAAATCAGACTTCAGTTCTTTCTTTCTTCTGTTGCGACGTTAAATTAATTTTATTCTCTAATAAAGTTTGACATCTGATATTTGCTGTTCACGAATGTAACCAAAGATGGAAAAACTTATGGGAAGTTAATAGTAACTATACAACGTTTTAATAAAAGCCGGGGTTGGTGTAAGCTGCAAAGGCTTTATACGGTTTATCTCTTGTTAATGAAACAATCTGTTCACATTTTCCTAAAGTTAAGCAGCTCATTTCAAAATTGTTTGGTTATTTTAATTCACCCGTAAAACATTGTGTGATTTCCTTAACGTTTTCTCTCACTAAAAATGCAGATCAACTTATCTCGTGTCTGGTCAGGAAAAAAAGTTTTTTTTCTATTTTATAAAGCAGTTATATCCTCTATTAGAAACATATTCTTTTCCGCCGTCAAATTATGCACTACTGTAGCAGCACTAGCTATTAAAGACCCATATTTTAATACATTTAAATGGAACTTAAAACAACAAAAAGATCTACTTTCATGTAATAAGTGTTGCGATGCGAAAAGCATATTTCCATTAAAGCTCTTAATTTCCTAGTGTATAGGGTTTTCTTCTGGTTACTATATTGAATAGCCTGACTTTAGTTTCAAGAAAAAGCAAAATATAATCTAAAATTAACAAATATCACAACTATGTCCATATCCCCACCACTACCAGATGAAAATATTTCTTGTTACATGCAAGGGCTGTCAAAAACTTGGATCAGTGCGGTTTTAATACTGTTTTTTACACTATTTCCAAGGACCTGTCGTTGTAATCTGAATGGCACTTAAACGCGCAAATACTACAGTAAATTTTTTCTAATCACACCTCACGAAACTTTTGCTTCACACTTTCATATTTTTCCCGCTTCATGTCTTTACAACTTATAAGTATGCCTTTCCAAGCCAAGAGAAAAGCTCCGTTTGTTTAAGTGATTAGACTGTCTGACTGGGATGCGGGAGGTCACGAGTTCGAACCCCGGCTGAGACATAGCAGAAGTCGTTTAAAATATTGTACTAGTAGCTACGCACAGCATTAAGATGTTAATGTAAGCACTGGTAGGCCTGGTGTCAGGATAAAGGAAAATGGGTGGCACATGATGCCACATGCCTGTGGCATGATGCCCCAGTACTTGACAAACTTCCACACTACAGATTTCGTAGCGAAATGACCCAAAATGTTAAATCCAAAGCATACACATTCCTAGCCGAGTGTTTCTTCTTTACACAAAGCTATACAATGCAAAACATAATTACCAATGCAAACAATTATTCCAGTCTCAAATTATAAAAGACATATACATAAACCCATCAAGAGAATTCCCTGTGATAAGAAATGTTATTATAAAGCTTCTTACATACCCTCCATTATGTGGTCTGCACATAGAACCTGGCTAAATTCTGGGACCAGAAAGATATTCCAAACACCTACTCCTCATAATAAACCAATAAACACTAAAATTCTACTAAACTATAAACACATACGTCCATACTAAAACAGATAATCTATAATAATAATAATAATAATAATAATAATAATAATAATAATAATAATAATAATAATAATAATAATAATAAGATAGATAGATAGATAGATAGATAGATAGATAGATAGATAGATAGATAGATAGATAGATATAGATAGATAGATAGATAGATAGATAGATAGATAGATAGATAGATAGATAGATTTTCTATAACATAACATAACATAATGTAATATAATACAATATAATATTACATAGCATAACATAACACACATAATATAATATAATATAATATAATATAATATAATATAATATAATATAATATAATATAATATAATATAATATAATATAATATAATATAATGTAATGTAATGTAATATAATGTAATATAATATAATATAATATAATATAATATAATATAATATAATATAATATAATATAATATAATATAATATAATATAATATAATATAATATAATATAATATAATATAATATAATATAATATAATATAATGTGGATAGATTTCAGAGAAAAAGGCGTATCCTACATAAGGAAGTACTTAGTGTGCATAACCAATCTCAGTCTCTGTCTCATTCTGTCTGTCACTCCACAGTGCTTTGGACAACGAATTATATAACAACTCCTGTCACACGCAAGCGTAAAGTTAAGACATAGATACCATGATTTCAGCAGCATCAATCGGTTGGTTTTATTTAAATTAAAAAATGAACATAACAAGCTTTTTAAATTACTGTTATAGTCCGCTCAGGCTCTCTACCTTATATTTTCTTCATAAAGATTCAGAAACTCTTGGTTAAAGAAGATGGGGCTACATATTTTGTCGCAGTTAAATGGCTAATGAAAGCAATCTACATAAAAATGAATTATATGTTGGTGAAACTTCCTGATATGATGAGGGGAAAGTAATTTAATTGGATTTATAAGGTTAAAGATAATTATTGGGTACTTATCAATGAGTAAATTTTGACCTGGTCAGTGAAAAAAAAAAATATATATATATATATATATATATATATATATATATATATATATATATATATATATATATATATATTTGTGTGTGTATGTATATATGTGTGTATATGTATGTGTGTGCGGGGGGGGTGATTACACGTTCATACAATACTAACTAGCCTGAGGTATTTACACGGACGATCACTGCGTTTTATAAGATAGAAACAGAATAGTTAAAATAAGTTTTAACATCGAGGAATATATGATTCATCAAGCTTTAGACTTTCTTATCTGTGTTATACAGTGTTCCTTTGGAAAAGGTAAGCACATTTGATGGACAAGTCAAAGTCGTGATTATGTTTCTTTGACATTTAAATTGGTTCTTAAAATAGAATCAAAAGCATGGGCTTCTACTACACATATAGACTGACGTCAAGATTTGGTCACGATGTGGTCGGTATAAAAGACATTTTCCAGTCTTCAAGGCACTGTTGTTGACATCAAGATAATACTGACATCATGAAGTCCGTCTTTGTCCTGCTGGTTTTCGTGGGTAAGTACCAAGGGAAGGAGATTACCAAAAGGTTTATTTAAATGTATGCAATATGCTTCAATACTATTTGAAATGTGTATAAAAAAGAAGCACGTTATGATTTTGATACCGTTAGCATAGTAGATGGTGCGTTGCACACCGTCTGTCCGTCCGTATGTGGGACTATTCCTAAAAAGAGCGTCCTTTGCAAACAGAAGAAACTTGGTGTATTCCATTTTTATGTGGTAGCTATGTGTCCACTGGACGGTATCAAAGGTTGTGTTGTATGCCATTAAGACCAAAACGCAAAACATACTTTGGATTTGGAGTGAGAAAGATATTAATAAATGGTTTCAGTTTTTCCTGCAATCCATTGCAGATAAACTTGTTCCAGCGAAAGATTCAACTCAGGTCCTGCATCGATAACTGGGCTCGGCTCATCCATTTTGACAAAGCAATGCATATTCACATTGAATTCATTAGCATTATCTTTGAAGAAGATAAATATTAAAGAGGAGGCATTCTTCATTTTTTATGTATAATGAACTCCAGAGATATTGGGGAGGGGGAAGATTTATCATGTCAGTAAGACTTTTCAACTCGGTTTGATGTTTATCGCCTTTTTTTGTGGTAAAAAAAGTATTTACTAATTGCATAATATTTTCTTTTTCTT